CTTAAATAACAACCCTGATGTCTTCCATCGTTTAGAGCAGAGTTTCTCCTGGTCCTTCCCAAGGATCAGGATCCAGCCCACCCTCACTTTCGCATTTGGAAAAGTGAAAGCCATTGGGTAACGAGCTCCAGCATCCATTTAACACAGGAAAGAGAGCGACGGTGCTGTGGACGAGGGCCCACACGTGCACAGCAGCACAAAAGGCAGCCCCGAGCCCTGCAACTGCACAAATCGTGATTGAACTCCTCCCCCATCGCCCCCTCCCCTGTTACGGGTCCAGCTATGCAATATTAATTGCAATTACCCATGTACCTCATGTCCATATTATGTTTTAATAGGTGTCATCGTGCAATTAAGCACCGGCGGCGCGAGGCAGGCATTCTGCAACGCCAGCAGTTTTTGCAAAAAACCACGAGATGGCGATGCAATAGAAATTTCCATCGAGAGAAAAAGCACTTTGGGGTTACAGGGGACCCAAACCCCCCCGGCTGCAGAGCCCACCACCAGAAAGCACAAAGCACATACAGAGGAGTGAAGTTTTACATTATTTTCCTTCTTTTCGGGGGAGCGTGCATATGCTTGCTCTGCATTTATTGCGTAGTTTTAAAGATCCAAAGCATAACACAGTTTGCATTATTATTTTTAATATCAGTAGCTGCCTTGAAACCTCCTGTTAGAGCAGCAGCTCGATCCTGCTGTGACCAAGTGAGTCTGCACGAAGGGGCAGTAAACTGCAGCTCTTTGGAGTTTGCTGCGTAACAGTCATTTAAAAAAAGGATTTTGCCTTTCTCTAGCAAACTGCCCCATTCCCCAGGAGATACGTCCATCAGTGATAGCCGTGCCGAAAGGAATTTTGACACAAAATGAAAAATTAATTAAGGTTTTTAATTAAAATACGGGGAGGCATGGAAAATGGAGAGCTGGCTGATGTAGCGCGTGTAGTTGCAATCCCTTTACCCTCTGAGCTTGCCCCTTCCCCTGGGATAGTGTGACTGGGATGTGGAAGGTGGGATGAATAAGTGTGACTAGAATGTACAAGTTGGATGTCAAGACAGATCTGAGTATTTCTACTTTAAAAAACCTTATTTTATCACCTCATTTCTGCTTATAGTCTCTCCCCCTTACTGGAGACATATATCCATGGGCAGAGGTGCAGCCCTCTTATTTAATACATTAATATTGAATGTTGCTATGGACAGGCTTCAGGGTTTGGGGTCTTACATGGCACTATCCCACCCTGAGGGACTCAGTAGAGTCATACCTGCTCCCCTAAATTTAGAAGCTTCTGTCCTGCCTAGCCCTGCTGTCAGGGATGGGGTCCCAAAGAACAGCGCACGGGACAGTGGCTTGGAAACCTCCTTCCCATCCATCCCCTGGTGCGACGAGGCCCCGTGGTCATTCTTGTGATTATTCTTAGCACCAAGGAGCGATATCAACAGTTTTATACAAGGAGAATTAAAACAACAAATTAAACCAACAAATATTGGGCTGTTTTCGACTGTTTGCGAGACAGAAGACACACGATCAACACCTCCATCCTCCCTCTAAACACCCTCAGGGGACACATACTCAAACCCTAGAGCCATCAGCCAACGGTGGCTTTTTTTCTGGGACTTTTAGCACAATCCCATTGAAAAAATTGCCCGCCTCTTCTCTGAGTCTCTCCTTCCCCATGGCTCCCACAGCGAGGGACATGGCTCTGGCTGATGCTACTAAGAGGGTGGTGGCCACACGCTGCCAGCCAGCCCTTCCAATTTACCCTGTTTGCCCTCAAAAGCAACTCTTACCTGCTCAAGGAGCAACACCCGCTTCCCACTGAGCCCTTCAGCACTACGCAGGGACAGGGCAGCAGCTTTCACCTTCCCTCTTCTACTGCCAACCCCAAATTTGGGGATGGGTGGCTATGCAGGGCTGTTCCTCTCTGTTTCATGGCACCCGTTGAGCTGAATGAGGATAAAACACCAAGCTTTGAGCCCACAATTCAATTAGGAATTGCCACAGATGCAGCTTCAAAGTGCCCTCCTGAAAATTTGCCCTGCAAATTAAAGCTCCCTTTTGCAAATCTGCCCTTTAGGTTCCTACTTGAAAAGGGGACGGGAGACAGTTTGGGGAGATTCATTTTTCCTCCAGTTTATATATAACTTGCTAAGCTTTTTATTTTTTAAATGAGCTTACTATGTCCAATTTAAGTCAAAATTTAATGATCCCTGCAGTAATTCATTTAAGGATACAGCTTCAATAAACGCCATGGCATAAGTCAGGGAATAACTGTCCTTGTCCGCAGCACAATGATTAATCAACTTTATTAAAATTAGGATTGGCTGAGGAGATTTGCATAATATGAGAAGACTCAGAGACCTCTCCAGGACTAAAATGGACCCAAGACCAAACTTTGGGGTTTTTCTCCCCACTGTCCCAGGCCCCCTGGCCCCACGTACCTTGGAAGCATCCAAGTCCAGAGCATCTGGCTCGCCTCACACCTGGAGGTGGATAGTGGTCCTAAAAAGGGTTCAAAAAGACCAATTAGCACAGACAAGCAGGTTGTGAAGCACTTTAGGTAGCAAGAAGATGCGGAAAACATCCTATATTTCTGGCAATTTAAGGGGTGTTTCTCAGTGCTTTGGTGTAGGGATGCTTTCTGGATGAGACATTAATAGGAGCAAACACCCGGAGTTATTTTATGTCGTTTTATATTATTTGATGTCATTTGATCCCCTCATCTCCCCTTCTCGAGCTGGGCAGGGCCCTGGATGCCCGCTCTGCTTAGCCAGCGACCCGTGCCGTGCCACACCGATGCTGAGAGCAGCTCAGCCCCTGTGGCAGGTCAAGGAAATCAAAAGCAGCCCAAGCTGCTCGGGGTGGCTCTGCACCCCCCGGCCCCACAGAGGAGCACCCCACCACGGCCCGGGTCACAGCCCCCTGCCACCAGGCTGCCAAGTCCAGCCGACCGAGCCCCCGTGGAGCCCGCATTACCACCGCGATGACCCTATATGTAACACCGGCCAACCATGAGGGACCAATTAGCTTTCTGGATCCAATTAGCAGCAGCTGTGATTTGTGTGCATCCCTCCGTACATATGGCTGCGCTGAACTTTCCCTCAGTTTCAAATGTCCCCGTATAGCGCCGGCGAAACGAGAGGAAGGACCATTTGTCTCGTCTTTTTTTCCGAGAGCCTTTATTATGATGGACGAGGAACCTTTTACATCATTCACCAACTTGCAAACAAATTAGCTACCTTCATCACCTTCCCCTGATAGCGGAGCTGGCAAGCGATGGCCCGATGAGCTGTCGGGGAGTGGGTAATGGGTGCAAGGAGGGGGGGGTGTAGTACAAGTCTTTCGTTGGACATGATCAACTAAGTTTGCTGGAAATAAAATATAAGTGAAGTCAGATGCTGAGGGCTTAAGTGTCCATGCATTAACCAAGATGGTTTCCATCTCGTGGAGCAATTTGGGCTCTGGCCATTTAGGGTGGGACAGGAATTGTAACTCATTCTAATGGATGCTGGGCATCCAAATCCCCTCGGTGGGATTGAAAAAAAATCTCATCCCTAATTTCAATGTGCCTCCGTCCCTCACATGCAGCCAATTCTCACAGGGTGCTCCGGGAAGCCAGATAAAAGCGTTACTGGTATTACCCATAACAATCTTCTATTTCCTTGAAGAGACTGGAGTAGGAAGAAGAGAAAGGAAGGTCCACGGCCTGTTGACAAAATGACAGGCCGATGAATAGAGCTGGCTCCCTCTTCCCCTATCAGTGGTTCCAGCCCAGAAATAGAAGGTCCCATCAACTGCAGCCCAACAGAAGTCCCATGCTCAGGACCGTGCATGCAACGAGACCGCAGCGCTGATGGCTGCAGAAGGGGGTGATGCAGATTAGTGCAGGTCCTGCTGCTAACAATCCTGGTAAAGGCAGTGATGCTGCAAGCCCCGGGGAGAAAGGCTGTGATAAATGGCTGGGAGTTAATGGCAAGGCATTCTGCAGCATTGCCCAAGGGGTCAGCCCCTTTCTCCTCCATCTGCAGGGCTTTTAACGGCAGGCCGCCCGTTCTTGGCAGGAGGTGTGGATAATGGAGTGGATCACCAGCTCCAGCGCAAAGGCAGAAGATAAAACCATTTTACAGGGTGCTTTAAAAAAAGAAGTCGTCTTAGCTGGAAAGTATCTGTTAAAAAATAAGGCAGTGTTGGAGGAGAGACCCCTGTACACGTGCATAGCCTTGACAAAATTGCACTAGAAACGAGGCACTGGATCGTTTTATTGCACAGTAAACAATTCGGTATCTCTGTCTCCTGCAAGGTTTGGAAATGAGCCCTTTTACAGAGCAGCCAGCCAGCTCTGGCTCCTGGGGACAAGCACGGGGAGGGGCTGTGTGTAAATTAGGAGAGGAGGAAAGAGGCTGAAGGTTGTATGACATCACTCCAGATCGCGTCTGAAAAAAAACAAGAGTTTGTCCCTGTCTGGGTGAGAAGGGAAGGGGACAGACCTGGTGGTAACAGTTCCCCATGCCTCCTCTTACACCTGTTTGAACCTGTGTTGCCTTGGTGGGGAGCAGGTAAAGTTGGGCAACATCATCTGTACAGGGGAAGGATAAACTGGATGATGTTTTCCATGGAAGTTGAAAATTCAGCGTAATTAAACTTGATCCTTGGAAGAAGATAAATATGTTTGAAAACCCAGCCCAAATGCTGAAGTTACAGTAGCTGATCCACAGAGAGGAAGAATGGGTTTGTGGTTAAGGCGCTTCCCTGTGATCTGAAAAATCTGGGTTTAATTCCACCAGCCACAACCTCCCTGCGTGCTCCTGGACAGATCACTTCATATCTTTCTGCCCAGCTCACCATACAAAATGAGGGCCATAGTTTTTTCTTTTCAAACAGACAGTCCTTACCATGAAGAGCTTGCAGTTGCGGCTAAGTCTACGCGCTGCAGATTGAAGCAACAAGTTTCAGGAGTCCATCACCTTGATAATTTTATTCTTCTTTCTGGAAGGAGCTGCATTCCCCGCTTGAAAGCAGAATATTACATCCACAGTCCACTCCTCTTTGTGGGTCAGGATTTGAAACCAATTTCTGTACTAAAAAAAAAAAAAAAAAAATCATCACAGCACAAAAAATGGCTTAATTAGCTTTGTAGACAGCCAGTGTGAGTACAGAATACCCCGAGTGAGGGTCCTCTCCAGCCAAATACCGTCCTTTAGGGAACTTGGCATTCCTTCCAGGCTGTGTGTCAAGGAGACTGAGCAACTTTACATCAACACAACATGGATTTTCCTTCTACCAAACTACTCTGCAATCTGTAATTTTTAACCTCACAAGTTTGAGATTGTACCTTAACATTTGCAGGAAGCAGATGGCTTCTGCATACTGCCAACCTGTTGTTACAAAAGCATCTTCCAAGAATTGTTTTCTACCCACAGTCGCTAACCATAATTAACCTTTCATATGATTTAATAAACAGGAAAAAATATTTGCCATCTCATATTAATAAAGAGAGCTCTTCAGGACATTTCCCCCCCCCCCCGGTCTTGCTTCTAGAACGTAGAAGCTGCGGTAATTTTTTTGTGCGCTTCTTTTATTGCCGTTCAAACTATTTAGGGATGCAGCTTACCTATGCAGATTAAAGCTGCGAAGGACAGCATAATAGTGGACTTGCAGAGCACCTTCTGGCACAGCACAAAATGACCTCTTATCTAAGGGAAAAAAAATGTAAGATGGAGTGAGAGGAACGACTGCTAAGCCCGGGGCAGAGATGGAGAGCAGAGCTCACCGACAGCCCCAGCAATATCAAGGGAGAGAGACTGCTACGTTTTACACTTTCCCACACTCATAATTTTAATGCCTCACAAAGTTTTAAGTGATAATAATAGAGTCCTGTAGTGCTTTGACCTTTTCAATATTCGGAAACTTTACTGACCGGTCATTTTTTGGATGGAGGGCTCTCTCTACATACGCACCACAGGGACAGACATCTCCAAAGTGCCTCGGAGACAGCTAAGTGCAAAGTGGTATTATTACCATGATTTCACTAATGAATGAAAATGAAGATGTTGGCTAAGACTTTCCCCCATATTATGGGGGAAATTAAATGACAGACGTAAGTAAAAAGCTGGCATGGGGGACCAAAGTACGTCTCTCAGTTCCTGATGGGTAGTTGCTTTGGCTTAGAACATCAAAGGCTTTCTGAAGAGCTGAAACTATAAAGGAAATATTCTCTTGGTTTAACCAATTTCCATAATGGGGATTAGGGAACACTCTCCCTGCTAGGACAGGAGAACTTCTTTTTTAATTAATGTTCCTTGTAACTGTTGAGTGGTCATCAACCATTAGTATGATAATGCACCCTTGAAATGATAAATACAATTATGATGATAACTGCTTGGCTTTAAAAAATAAAATAAAATCATATACATACAAAGCCTGTACTGCAGCCTGGGAACCGATTCCAAGAGACGACCCTGGGTTTTCTGCTTTGTCCCTGGTTTTGGCGGTACGGAGGAGTTCGCCGAATGGTGTTTCGCTCCCATTTGCTATCAATACGCTGCCAAGATCGAAACGGATCAACTTGAATTAAGATGGATGCACATCAAATTAATGCAAGCCCAAGGAGACTGATTTTGTAGCTGAAAATAAAAAAATAGAATAATTTAAAAAAAAAAAGATTTTGTTTTCTGAGGCTAGAAATTAAACAAGCAAAACCAAAGATCTCAAAGAGGCAACTCTTGTTTTTCACTAAGAATAAAAAACTCTGTCTTTCTGTATATATTATACACCTGGAAACCACCAAGCAGTTGCAGTGTTTTCTCTGCATCCTACTACCATCTCAGACATTGACTGATACATTTGCTTGACCAGAATACAGCAGCAGAAAACCACCATTCTATTAAAGCTGCCATTTCTTTCATTATTTTCAGTAATTAATTCTTCATTTATATCAGACATCCTTTTGTGATAATTTTGTTCTAATCTTGGTTTAAAGAAATTTTTTTTTGGTGTTCTGAGATTTTCTCTAGATTAGAACAGTTTTTAAAAAAAATATTTCCATTAATAAATTGTTATTTTCCTCCAGAGGTTGTGATCATAAAATATGCATTGTGATAGCAATAAACATTTAAAAAAATGCAAATATGGCTTTTACTTTTATAGATCTCAGTAAGATACAGGGTAGAACAAAACCAGGATCAGTAATGTTTTAGATAACACGTTATCTTTTTGCATGATACCTTAAATCCATTTCAGTTCAAGGTGTCCTCACTGACTTTAACGATTCAGAAGTTTGATGCTGCAGTTGTCCTTGGAGGGCACTTTCATTTTTTAAGCCCCAAACCCAGTTTACAAGGTCTGACCAATTAAATTCAATTTTCTTTCCAATTCAGTTTAAGATTCAGGCTGAGGCTTAGCCTTTAACCCTTTGAATTTCCCTTTTCCTGGCCAATGTCTCAATATTATAATTATTTTAACGTAAAGGGGTTTTCTTGTTTTGCCTTTTTGGTTTGTTTAGTTCTTTTTTTTTTTCCCCCTACAGGACGGGTTAAACATTTGCTCCGAGCACTTTTAGGATTCATTGGATGCGGCCCAAATCCACAGGACAAACATTTTGCTGCCCCAAGAGCCCTGAGAATCTGTAATCTGCGGCTCCTTTCACTACCCTGGCAGCCGTTTCAAGTCAGGGCGTGTTTGATGGGGTTTTTTTGGAAGAACACGCTTCCATTCAAGAGATGTTACAGCAGAATTTGAGCAAGGTCTGCGGTGGTCTGTGTCCGAAGGCAACAAAGCCCGCTTTCTCTTCTGGTTTGGGTTTCTTTTCAACACTTACCAACTTTGTCTCACAACACCCTTGAGAAGGCAAATGCGCTTTTTGTTCCTTTATTAAGAGGCGAGGGAACTGGGACATTAAAATCCCAGTTTTGCAGGGGGAGGCAGCCCTGGGGGGATGCTCCGCAGGTTGATGGGGGTGTTTGGGTGGGATACCCTGGGTACCCCACGGCCCCTGCTCACCTTACCCACCCTAACCTCCTCTCCCTAATTTATTCCCCCCAGAATTGAGAGCCACAAAGCTTTTGGAGCACTGCTGCGGCAGGAAGGCAGAGGGTTTATCTGCTGTTAAAATCTTTGGGGAATTATTTTTTGTTCCTCTCCAGCCTGCGCATGGCCCTGCCATCGCTGCCTCCCTGCGCCAGTTTTAAGGCATTTATTTCTACAGATCCCCGTGCAGTAAACAGGCTCTTTTCATCCCGTATTGCAGACAGCAGCTACAAGAGAGGAAGATTTATGTCACTTGCCCAAATTTGCCCTGGAAGTCTTTGGCAGAGATTTGCACCCTGGTCTCCAACCTCACACTACAATTAGGGACCATCGGTCCTGTCAGCCCCTGGCTCAGCTTCAGCCTCTCTTCTCTCAAAGCAGGGATGGGGACCATTGCCATCTTTCACCATTTTGTCATGGACCTCATGATATTTTATTTTATTTTAAACTCCCTCTCTTTGAAATGGTTTGAGGGTGCGGGAAACTCCACTTTCATTAAAAGGAAAATTAAGTTATGGACAAAAGGCTGAAGCAGAAAGACTAGAAACTGTAATGCTAACAGAAACAATTCGCCATTTTTTTTTAAAAAAAATCTGCTGCTCCGAGGGTCATCCCGTGATTTACATGGAGTGACTCATGATTTTCCAGCACAGTTGCTGGGCAGACCTTAAAGATCGCCGCCTATGTGGGAATACTAATTTTAAAAAAATCACTCAGCTCCTCATCAGATGCCGAGGAGCACGGCGCGCTTTCATTTTTCCTGCACATTAGCCAAATTAAATCAAAATAAATATCAATGAAAATATTGCACAGGACATAAAAACCCCATCCATTTGCGCTCTATCCATATGCTGCTTTATGAGACGCCGGGTTTCTCTCCTGCTCCGGCTCTGCGCTGCCAGCCTGGAGAGCACAGCAAGGCGTGGAGTCCCTGACGTGCTTTAGGCATTCATCCCTCAAACACTGCACCCCGGGGCCTGCCTGCCTGTGTGTTTTTCTTTTTTTTTGTTCTCACCACACATCTTCGCCAGGCTTATTTCTGCCCGCGGGCAGCCGCCGTGGCTGGGCTAGCACTTGCCAGCCTGGCTCCAGCCCCGGCCACCGGCTCGGGATGCGCCGCCGCTGCGGGATCAGCCCTAAGGTGCATTTCTGCCAGCGAAAAGTACAGCTCCTGGAAGGTGCTCCGGTCGTTAATTATCTAAGGGTGGTTTGGACAAAGCAAGGAAGCCCAGGAAGATGTTTCTTAGGGGGAACTGGGGTATTCATGTTGGGGTCCCTCACCGTACATCTGCATCTCGGCGCTCCCGGCGTGCGTGCAACCTGCCCCCCAAAGCCAAACGCCCGCTGAAGAAATCATAAAACAGAACTCAGGATTTAAAACTGCCAACAACTTGCCTCGGCTGGGGAGCAGGAATAGTGATTCCTGCTCCTAAAACCGGCGCAGTTTAGGGTAATGTGATTAGACATTCAACATTTTCCCCCCCCTCTCATTATTATTTAGCTCCCTCATTTGAATGCTCAGGTTGGAGGGAAGGGGGGATCGCTCGGAAATTACACACGCAGCCAAATTTCTTCCTTCCCCTTTGACAGGGCAGCGCTGATGGTTATTGTTCTTTTCTAGCTGCATTACGCTGTCCTTGATTTTTGTTTCAAGCAGTCTAATGGCATGATGTCAAATCCTGCTAATTGGTTTAGGATTAAAATGCAGGGCCACATCACTCTCTTGATTAACCAGCAGCAAAACTGCTTTTGTCTAACGATCGTTTCAGAGGAGAAAGAAAATAAAGCATATAAAGGAAGCTTCAGGCTTTTGTCAGTAAAAATACATAGGAAACTGCTTTTTCTTTACGGGGAAAAAAAAAAAAATTGCCACTGCTAGGCCCTCTAAGTTTTGACTTGTAGCAGTTAAAAAGCAGCCCTGCAGGGAAAGGTCGCTTACTAAGGAGAAGAGACTGTGCTTCCATCCAGCATCCAGCCACTCGCTGCGCCGCACCAGAGCATCCATGGCTGGACCTTCTTTTATTTAATAAATTGGCAGCAAAAAAATCAATGGGAATGTCTCAGCCCCATTTCTGGCCTCCCTGACACCTAAACAGCTCCAGCCCCAGTTGGGATAAATAACCTGGGACCCAGCAAAGGCTGCGGTGGCCGGTGGAGCCCCTGGGAGATGCTGGGAGCTGCGGATGCTGTTGGGGACCTGAGTGGGATGCGGGATGCCCGGGGCCACGGGGAGGGGATTTGCACCCCCTGGCATCCCCCTTTGCTCACTCCACAGCCACAGAAATTAATTCTGCAGCCTGAGACAGGGCTGTGCTTGCTGGGAGCTCACCTGTTGGGTGATTAGCACAGAGACAGGACAAAGCAGTTTTTTTCCCCCCTGGCAGCAAGGATCAAGGATTATTGGGAAGGGAAGGAAGGGATGCATGGTTCAAATTAAAACAGGGACGGAAGCAACACCAAACCACTACTTTGTCATCCATCTGCTAAAAAATACAACCCAACAAACCCACAAGAAAAGTCCCCCCTATCAGCCTCCAAAGATTCTCCCTGCCTGCACTGTTTAATCTCTTTGGCTCCTGTTTTCCCTGACCAGCTGAGGGATTTAATTTCCAGGGAATTAGACGTCTGATTCAAGGTATTGTTTTGGGAGCTGTGCACACGATTTGCCACACACAGTCCTGAAAGTCACCGGTGGACCCAGTGCTTCCAGCACGCTCCCGGCCCGGCCCCGCTCCGCCGGGAGGTGAAAGGGACTTTATTGGGAAGGTTTTGATGCATTTGGCATGTCTTTGAACCTGGCTTCCCCAAAGGGAGAGAATGAACTCAGGCGGAGAAAGAAAAAAAGGAAATAAAAGGGCCCTTCCCATCTGCCCGGCTGCATTCAATGGGGAGCTTTTTAAAAGGTATAATAGAGGTTTGTGTGTTCCTGCTGAGATTTGTTCTGGTCAACTTCTCCGGGGTGCTCAGACGGGGCGGGCTGGTGTGCCCACCCTCCCCCAGCGCCCTCGGAAAGAAATTATGGTCAGGGCTGTTTTGTTTTTTTTTTCCAATTATTTTTTTCTGCTGTAAGAAGTGCGTGCCCTGCACACACGTTGCTCTCGCACAAAAGCGACTCGAGCCAGCCCCGCCGAACACAAAAGTGGGTTTTATTCTGGGTTTCCACCAGCAGTGCAGTTAAGCCCAGTGTTCCCAAGCGTGGCGTTGAGGGAGCCAAACCCCAGACATCCCTGCAGGATCCAGCCCAGGTTTTCCTAGAGAGCATCTCCGGGATGGTGGGGCTGGGGAGCATCTTAGGGCTCAGTCCAGTTTTACAGCATCCCATCATGGAGGTAAATCACCAGCAACAGTGGCTGTACTCCAGAAGTTGTCCTGCTCTTTACCCTGCTCTGCAACTTGTTGGTGCAATTGTTAAAAGCCAGGTCAGATGCAAAGCTGATCTTTTTTTTATGCGATCCTGGCCCCAGCACAGACAAGATGACATTTAACAACACCAAA